CAGACTTTGGAGCTGAACGCCCTGGGTTATATGTCAGTACCTTCACTCACTAGCACTAAGACGTTGGATTAGGCATGGGACATTAAGATGGGTCAGTGTGCATGGCAAAAGGATGAAAAGCTGAGACGGAAACGTGCGTCTCCACAGAAGAGCAGCATGAAAAGAAACTCATGCAGGTAAAGATCTCCTTCAGGGCAGGGACTTTGGCCTTGTCCTGTGTCCCTGTCTGCTAGCATAATCCCCACCTGTCACAGCCCCTCAACAAATCCATTTCTATCACAGAAAGGGTGAAGGCTAGATGTGAATGGAGACTAGCTGTCCAATTCACTCACATTGGACATAGGTTACTTGAATTCTCTGTATCTGTTTCCCCATCTGTAAAAGGAGCATGAAATGGTCTCTATGTTGTGGCGTTGTTATGTGCCTGGCATGTAGCATGTGTAGTAGGCACTTTTATATGTATAGGCCATGGTCACGATGATGATGACGATGACAGTGACAATGATGGTTACTGGGTTTTCTGTTATATGCAGGTAAACCTAAGCTGGTACATGTGTTCACAATGGCCAAGCCAGAGTGGGTTTTCTCCTGAACAAAGGAAGAGACATTACTCCTCAATACCTTTCAGTAGCTCCGCTGGGAAGCCATGAGCTCAGAAGCACAGAGGCCGGCCAGGCATGGTGGCTCATGCCTGTAATCCTAGCACTTTGGGAGGCCAATGTGGGAGGATCAGTTGAACACAGATGTTCAAGACCAGCCTGAGAAACGTGGTGAAATGCCAACTATACATAAAATACGTAAACTAGCCAGGCATGGCGGCACACACCTGTAGTCCCAGCTACCCGGGAAGCTGAGATGGGAGATGGCTTGAGCCTGGGAAGTTGAGACTGCAGTGAGCCAAGATCCCACCACTGCACCCAGCCTGAGTGACAGAGCCAGACCCTGTCTCCAGAAAAACAGAGCAGAGACCACTTTGAAGACAGAGCACACTGGAGCAACAGAAAATAACCCACTTAGCCAACCACTGGTTCAGTTGTGCTAAGTCAGCATTCAACTTGCGGACAATAAAAAAGTCTCTTCAAGGATGCGTGGGGAAAAGGAGGGAGGAAAACAGAGACTGAAGCTCCAGGCTGAGGCCCCAGAGGGAGTGCGGGTGAGAGGTCAGGGCCCCCAACGGGGTGCAGGGGCATTGGGGTGCTCAGGGCAGACACCAGGGCAGGCCATCTTTGCAGGACACAGACCGGCATCTTCAGCCCAGGCTGGAGGGGCTTCCCCAAGGCCCTCCTTGTCCTGGGAGCAAGGACACTCCGCCGCCTTTTTCAGTACAGAGCACCTGACCCCTCCTGTCTCCCTTGGCCCAGCTTCTCATCTAGGCTGTGGCCATTAATAAGGCTTCTTTCTTAAATAAGAGCAAATTAAAAGGGGAAGAATTTCCTTGCAGCCGACCGATTTCTTGATTTTTTTTTTTTTTTTTTTTGAGAGTTTCGTTCTTGTTGCCTAGGCTGGAGTGTAATGGCACGATCTCAGCTCACTGCAAACTCTGCCTCCCAGGTTCAAGTGATTCTCCTTCCTCAGCCTCTCGAGTGCTGTGATTACAGGCATGCGCCACCACGCCCTGCTAATTTTGTATTGTTAGTAGAGACGAGGTTTCTCCATGTTGGTCACGCTGGTCTCCTGACCTCAGGTGATCTGCCTGCCTCGGCCTCCCAGAGCACTGGGATTACAGGTGTGAGCCACCGCGCTCGGCCCATTTTCTTGTTTTTTAAATACTGCTTTTGGAATATCAAGGTGCTTTTGAGTTGATGTATTTTAATTATTTTTAGCCAAAAGAACTTATTAACCTTTTGCTACGTTTCAGTTGGTTTTTTAAGGGAGAGCAGTAAAGGGCTTGGGCAGGCAATATGAGCCAGTGTTGGGGGTGCTAACCCTGCCCGGGGCTGTCACCCCTTCTCCATGCCTGCCCAGGCCACCCTGCTGGGGGAACAGTGACCCTTCAGGATGGGGAAGCCCCTGGCTGGCAAGCTGACAATTTCTGCTTGAGCAATTTGCACATCAAAGTTGTCAGCAGACTGCAAGCTTCCCGGCCATCTTTCATGTCCCTGGATGGAAACCAGCCTGGTCATCAGCAAAGAAAATGGCAGGCACGACCTGCTGGGAGCAAAGACCACGTGAAGGGCCTTGGTGAAGGAGAAGCATAAGGGGCTCCGTGCAAAACCTCAGCAGAGGTTCTCCACCACTCAGCCCAGTGCAGGCAGGCACAGCCCGGAGGCCGCTGGACTGGGCAAGCTCCCGGGAAGGTGCTCCCGTCTTCCATGAGAGGGAATGTCCAGCATCTCCAGTCAGGAAGATGAATGAGACAAGACCACCCTTCTCCCAGCCCTCCCCAGCCCCACTTCCCTTTTCCCACCCCAGTCCTCGGGATTTCTTGTGGTCTTGCCTTGTGTGTTACCTTCCTTTTCAATGTTTCACCCAGCATACACGCATCATTTGCTCTTTCACAAATGAGCACAAATAATCTCCAATAACAATCTTGCTCTAGGACAAAGTTTCATATAAAATTTTATTCCCTACTTAGACCCTTAATAATCACATAGGATTATAATATTTAATGATTTAGACTTCAGATTTCCTATGTTCAGAATGGAGCTTCCCAAATAAACAGGGGCTGGTTATTTTCAGTCTCATCAAATATAACCTAAACGAGTTGTGTATACATGTACATGTCTTTCAGCTAAAAGGAAAAAACAAAGTACCTATAAGTCATTAGAAGAAAATATAGAAGAAAAAGATTGTTCATTTGGGGTCGGAAAGGCCTTCTTAAAAAAAACAACACAGAATGCAAATATCAAAAAAAAAAAAAAAGAAAAGTTTGATAGATTTGGCTAAGTCATAATTTAAATCTTCTGCACCACAGAAGATACCTTAATAAGTGATGAAACAAGAGGAACTGCACGCCACATGAATGAAATACGATCCCAAATATGTATCAACCTCCACGAAAAGTGACACCAAAACGTGAAACAAAAACTGAGAGTCGGGGTGCGGTGGCTCACACCTGTGATCCCAGCGCTTTGGGAGACAAGGCAGGTGGATCGACTGAGGTCAGGAGCTTGAGACAAACCTGGCCAACATGACAAAACCCCCATCTCTACTAAAACTACACAGATTAGCCCTGTAATCCCAACTACTCTGGAGGCTGAGGCAGGAGAATCACTTGAACCTGGGAGGCGGAGGTTGAAGTAAGCCAAGATCGCGCCCCTGCACTCCAGCCTGAGTGGCAGAGCGAGACTGTTTAAAAAAAAATTAAAAATAAAATAATAAAATTCACTGCTGGACGCGGTGGCTCAAGCCTGTAATCCCAGCACTTTGGGAGGCCGAGGCGGGTGGATCACGAGGTCAAGAGATTGAGACCATCCTGGTCAACATGGTGAAACCCCATCTCTACTAAAAATGCAAAAAATTAGCTGGGCATGGTGGTGCGTGCCTGTAATCCCAGCTACTCAGGAGGCTGAGGCAGAAGAACTGCCTGAACCCAGGAGGCAGAGGCTGCGGTGAGCCGAGGTCACGCCATTGCACTCCAGCCTGGGTAACAAGAGTGAAACTCTGTCTCAATAAATAAATAAATAAATAAAATTCCAACCCCCCACTGCCATCCTTAGGAAAAAACAAACAAATAAGACATGGATATAAATAAGAAATGTATAAAAACAGGAAATTAAAATGGTTGAAAAACGTGAAAAGATGCTCAGTCTCAAAACAACTGGGAAAATGAAAATTAAAACCAGATACAATTCTCTATGGGGAAGGGCCTCTCTCGCCCCCTGCTGGTGGTTGGGCACACCGCAGAACTTTGAAAAGGGCGCCATGGCAATGACTACAGCAGTAAAACACACATTCTCTTAAATCCGGCAGATCTCATTTCCGCACTCCTATATTAAAAGACATCCATCTGTGTATACAATTCGGTAGGTACAAGGATCTTCATTACTAGCAAATCGTAAAAACTGGGACCATCTGAATAGTTAGTCCATGAAAAAATGGTTAAATGAACCATGGTGCACTTCTGCTGAGGAATACTACACAGCAATGAAAAAGAACAAAGCGGGAGCCAACAGCTCTCCCCAAAACACAGTGAGTGAGTGAATGGGACCCTATGTCCCATGGGGTCCTGTTTGCACAGCATAGAGGGAAGAACACATTAAAAAGATATTTCTAGGCTGGGCGTAGTGGCTTATGCCTATAATCCCAGAACTTTGGGAGGCCAAGGCAGGTGAATCACCTGAGGTCGGGAGTTTGAGATCAGCCTGACCAACATGGAGAGACCCTGTCTCTACTGAAACATATAAAATCAGCCGAGTGTGGTGGCACATGCCTATAATCCCAGCTATTCAGGAGGCTGAAGCAGGAGTATCACTTGAACCAAGGAGGTGGAGGTTGCAGTGAACCAAGATGGTGCCATTGCACTCCAGCTTGGGCAACAAAAGTAAACCTTGTCTCAAAAAAAAATAGATATTTCTAAAAGGATGTACAAGTAGCTGGTCTGAGGGACTGTCCTCGGGGAAGGTAAAGTCACTTTTCATCTGAGAGCTTTGTACAGTGTTTAAATTTTTTCTCCCATACTTGTGTATTACTTTTATAGCTGTCAAAAGAAAATAAAACTAGTATTTAAATTATTTAAAAAGCTCTCTAGGGACATATTTTAAGTAAGGAAACTGACGGACCACCTGTACAAGGCACCGTTTAGGTAAAAGAACACATAGAAACGGAACTATATTCTTGTTTTTACGTATGTACGTAAATTCATGGCAACACCCCTGCCATGAAGGATGCCCACCTGCCAATGGGTTCTTCTGGAAAGAAGCGAATTGTAAAGAGATCATGTGACAGACTACTCGTGGGGAACTCACAAGTTTTAAATCTTACCTTTGAAAAATAAAGTGGAAGTTTGTCACAATAAGAAAGTGCACATCTATTTCAATGAAAAGAAGGAAGTGACGTGGAAATCCCGGCATATTTCATTGTTTCATTCTCTATATGCACTTAAGTTTCTTCAAATATACTTTTGGACCATAAGAATGTTTTATTTAGCAAGTGATTTTTTTTATTCTTTAGCCACAATTCTCCCACATTTTTACTTTACCACAATTTTTCCATATTTTTTATACATTAGATACACAATTTATTAGACGTTAAAAGGGAAAAACATTCTTTTTGTTGAATAATATCACATTATATTTAAAGATTATTAAGTTTTTGAATATCAAAAATTGAAGCTGCTGGGAATCACATTTATTTGTAGGTCCCAAAATAGCCCTGAGGTCTGAATAGGAAAATATCTTTTATAAACTCTAACAAAACTCTCACCTCAAAATAAAACACTATGAAATCTATACAATTGTATCTGTACTCAGTATCTTTACAATATCCAGAAACCTACTGGATTTTTAGAAACGACAATGCAAATAGGTTTACATTCAGAAGAGAGCTTATACTAAGAGGACCTAACTGGAAACCTGGCACCCTGTGCAGGAATCTGTTCAATCCTTAGAATGGTGATAAAGTCATCTTTGTTAAAAACACAGGTCCTTGGACACCCCAAATGCCAGGCAGAACAAGAGAATTCCAGCACATTGGCTTTTACTGTTCATCTGAAGGGTTATAATTGCTAATCATATTTCTGGGCCTGCCATCGCCTTCTGCAGTTTTCATTGAGTGTATCCATAGCTGTGCAGTTCTAAACCAGCTTCTAGAACTTTTGCTTAAAAACTGGTGTGAGGGTGCCTCCACACCGACCTCCCAAAACTTCATAAAGCATCCGGCCAATGTGGACCATTGCTTTACCTGATGGATAGCTTCATTTTTTCTCCTTTTTATTTGAAAACAGTAGAAGGATGTAGTATTATGACAAAACTATTTCCCTCAAAAACCGAACTGTGTTAGCACTGATTAGAGCATCTGACGTGTAGGCAGACCTGGGAAAATACCAGGGCTTCCTCAAGGAGATGTTGATTCTGAGGGTAATCCGCAGCCACATGCTGAGGGCTGAATGCCTGGGGAGCTCTTCCAGGGTGGAAAGAACCCTCCTGGGCCTGGGGCCCTGGATCTGAGTGCCTCCATGCGGCCAAGGCATTCTAGATGAGCCAAAGGGGTTCTAGATGAGCCGCCTGGGTCAACCCTGCCTTTTAATAAAGACCTGTGTTGTAACAGCTCCAGCTGTGTTCTGTGCCACAGTGGGCAGGGTGCTCACAGTGGGTCCTGGGACTGTGCGAGACCCCACAAGTCCACTGAACAGCACGCCATCAAAGCAGGTCCCATCTGCCCCTGCCTGGAGCCCACAGCCAAGCAACGGCAGCATCATCACCTTTGCCAGCACAAAGCCCGAGTGTCCATTCAGTTCATTTCACGTGCTTGCCTGCGCACACACTCACACCTTAGTGTTGGCGTCCAGGTTGGCACTGCCTGCTGCCGAGGGCTGTGCCTTTTATCAAGTCTTATTTTGGGCTGGGTCAGCATGAGGAAACCGTGTATGCAACACTGGCTTTCAACCGAGTCACTCGAAAATTAGTCACATGAACCCAGGTAGTGTATGTGTTTTTCTTTATCCTGTTTCTTTCAAAAACAGCCTCCAGAGGAGTTTTTTTTTTAGCCACTTATTTACAGTGTTAATGAAGGAACCCGTGAGTGCAAGGGCACAGAAAGCAGCTGACTGGAGTTACACCGACGCAGAAGCAAGTCCCAAGTGCGCACCGGGCGGCATGGGGGTGGGGGTGCAAGCCACGCCTTGGCAGGAACCGCTTTCGTTGTCAGCTCTCGGCAGCTCCTGGCATGCCTGCTGCACTGGCATCCGCCCCACTGCAGCTGTCCTCCACGTGACTTTGTTGTTTCAGACGGATCAGTCATGGTCAGTGTCCTCCGTGTCCTTCCCCAGACCGTGGCCCTCCAGGCAGGTGCCGACGGAAAGGGGCTGCAGTAGAAGCCAAGGACCAGGCCCCCCGGTGGCTTCCAAGGGGAATCACCAACTGCCAGGTGCAGAATCTACACAGCTACCCACGTGGGAGGTGGAGGGCTCATGCTGTAGCATGTGAAAGACCAGTGGTGTCTGGGAGCTGACACAGCACAGGGGGACTGACCACCGGGGAAACAGCGAGCTGTGTCAGGGCGCAAGTGAGCAAGCCTGAGTCTCTGGGCCCATCTGGGGAGAGAGTAACACAGGGCGCACGTCAGGGCTGCAGCTCACTCCGCAAAGCAGGTGTGGCTCCCCAGGGTAAGGATGGACAGACAGCCTTCCCACGTCATGTAGTGTGGACGGCAGGCTGGGAGCAGTGTAGTGTTCTTGCAGGAGGGCTACCAGGGGTGTGTCAGGCCCACGTCCTAAGGCCCATTCATTTCCTCTCTGGGATGCATTTCATCATAATCGCTCAGTACCCATAATTCTTCCCAACGCCTGAAAGCAGCAGGCTTTGCATCCTTATCAGGCCCGGGGTCTGGCCCTAACCCAGGGGCTTCTCTTTCACTCACAACAGGCTCTTCTCCACTCCAGAAACCTGGTCACTGCAGACAGCAGGGACAGAAGTGGGCAGAGGGGCCCACTTCTGAAGAGCACAGCCCCTCTTCTGCGTCCATAAATCCTGTTTTCCAATTGACATCATGAACTTCCTCTCTCCTGATCCCAGGAGGAGCCTCTTGTCTCAGGAGTGGCCACACTGAGATGAAGCCACTGCATTTCTGATCTCGATAGTCCTGAGGTCCCCAGTACTGCCAGGAGTCTGGAGCTTGAGAGGAAGAAAGAAGCCCATGACGTTTCCCACTGCATCTTCCAAGCGTGGCCAAGGGACAGCCTCTGCACACCAAGGTAATTCCAGATGAGCAGCTCCACGCCATGCCCTCCTCCCTTCTGGTGAGTTTAGTGCTGGGCTGACTGTAGAACACTTTATTCACAGAAGCAAGTAGAAAAAAATGGTCACTGTTAGTTCACGCGCTCCAACGTCAGACCGGAGCGGCTGGCTCTGGAGGGAAGAGTGAGGACTGGCCCGTCTGTTCTCATCAGCCACCTCCATGCACACGGAGGTGAATTTCATTGTTGTCGACACATACGTTCCATCCACAAGAGGCAACTCAGAGGGATTGAAGCGACTTCACACCCACCCTAAAGCAGTTTCCGCTGCCAGAGTCCCAAATCTCTAATCACCAAGGAAGTCTCCCTCAGGGGGTGAGCTCCAGGCACCTCAGTTGTAATCAGCAGCATAGACATTGTCTGAGAAATATTTCTTCTGTCCAGTTAAACTATAATTTACTCAAATATTAAAAGGTAGTAAAATAGACTTCAACTTTTCCTCTAACTACATTTATATATAAATCCCTGAGAAGGTACCTGTCAACTTGAAATTCACTATCTACAGTTAATAAACATCAGGGAGCCCTATCCCTGTGCGCAGCAGGGGCTGGGCTGACTCTCCCTTCCCAGCAAAGAGGAGGGGCTGTGTAGTAATTCTAAGCCATCAGCACAGACACTGGCTGGCCAGCCGTTCATTCACTCTGGGGTCGAGGAGGTCCCACCATGGTAACCCCACAGGGACACCACACTGCCTCACAGAGGTCCTGGCGTTTCTGTCCTTGGTAGACCTCAGGGTAGGTGGTGCCAGGAACGATCAAAAACTTAACCAACTGGGAGAAGAAAACAGGCAAAGGAAGGAAAAGCGAATAAGGAAGAAGTGACGAGGTGACAGGGGAGGGAGAATGTGGTGACAAAGCCAGAGGGGGCCCTGCGGTGGCCACTGACAGGAGAGGAGAAGGGGTCAGTGCCCACCGGTCCCTTCCTTCCTGAACCACATGGCGGGTGCAGGGAGGGCGAGCCTTCAGTCAGTGAATGCAGCTGTTCAAAGCACTGAAAACAGACAAACAGGAAAAATGTTCTCCAAGGACACCAGGTTTTTGGCGTGGCCACTGGGAGGCCCCTGACTGCCAGATGCCAATGGTGCTAAGTGGGGAAGGGGCAAGAAGCCTGTATTCTCCAGCCCCGTCCACATCCTAAGACTGAGGGGCCCGTGTTACCAGTACCTAGAGCTAGAAGAAAGGACTTCCAAATGGCTCAGGAAGACGAGGGGGCGTTTCTCTCCACCTCTGGGACCAGGTGACCACACCTCCCGTGAGGAATCCCTTACCCAAAAGAAGTGAACATAATAACGTTGCTTAAGTATAAATTGGCCCATCAGATTACCCTGACACTGATCCCACAACACCCCCTCAAGGTGGCTCCATTTCCCCATCGTCTGGGCTTCCCTCCCTGGCCTCCTGCACTCCCTGAGCCTGACTGGGGGCCTGCTTGTCCCCTCTGATGCCCACTCCAAAGAGAATGAGGAAACAAGAGCAGAAGTCCCCCCCACCCCCACAGGTGGAGGAAAGAGGCCTGGTGGCATGTCCCTTGACTTGGAAAATTCCTCTCCTAGCAAATCTGCTTCTGCATGGCAAAAGGGAGAAGCTGGGCCAGCAGCCACGGGCACAGCTGCAGAAGCTGCCTGGACCTGCCTCATGCGCCAGAGGGAGGGCCTGCCCACAGAGCACGGCTAGAACGAGTCTAAAGAGAGGGACCCGGGAGTCTCCAACTCAATCAGGAATGGCCCTTCTTTCAGTTGGGTCTGGTGGGTTTTCAAAATCCGATCTTCCCACTGAGGCCACACCAAAGCTGCCTGGGAGGTGAGGCTTCCCAGTCCCACCAGAGCCCCCCATGAAGCTGTCATTTTCCCTCAAGTTGCAAACACTGGCCAGGTAACAGCAGCTTCCCCTCACCAGACAAGTGGCCAGCTCACCTTCAGATTTGCCAAAAGAATCCATGTCCTGCCCCACGCTTGCTGGCTCGGGAGGGTTTTCAAAATGCGGGTGTCTCTAGAGCTGTTTTGTGGATGCCAGGAGCATGACCAGACAAGCCCTGTGCTGGCCCCAGGGTCTCCTGTGCACCTGGACAAGGCTGGAACACATCAGGCGCAGGGCCGCAACGTGTCCACTCCAGAACAGCATGGGACCTGGGGAAATCACCAGTCGTTTGCTTGCCCTGGAGACTGTGAACATGGGCTGTGGTGAGGTAGCAGCTTGGCAGGACCAGAAATGTCTTTTTGACGTGGAAGCAGCAGACACCCGGGCTTAGGGTAGAAGTGGGGACTCCATACCATTCTCAGTGCCAACTTCCCACAGTGGAAACAGGCAGGAGGCCTGGCAACGCTCCAAGGGTCAGATGCCACGTCAGTCCGAACAGAAGCTGCCCGACCCCGGCTGTTCCCATGACAATGAGACATTCTTGGGAAGGCGAAGCCCTTTGTGGGAGTTCGGGATGGGTGTCCTCTCCCCTCGCAATCACAGTGTTAGCACTGCAGTTCTCCATGCAGGCTGAGCGCAGTCACCTGCGGAGCTGCAGGACAGGTCCAGGGCTCAGCTCCCCCAGCCAATGCCTTGAGAACTTTCGCAGCAGGGGTAGCTGGTGTCGAGAGGCATGCCTGGGAGACCACGTGGTCCCGCCTGGCGTGGTCCTCAGTTGACAGAGGTGAGGGTGGGGCTCGTGGTGACTTGGTAATGCTGTGAATTATGTACATGTGGCAGGAAGGTGCCACAATGCCAGAGGATTCAGCAAAGACAACCCCCAAAGATAACCAGTGTCAGTCACAGTCCCCACCTGCTCGAAGGGGACATGGCCAATCCCAACTCCTTGGCCACAAGGGTGACTCAGTCAACCAATATTTGCAGTTCTCTAAGAGGGTCTAGTCCCCTGTGCATTCATCAGAGTGCCTTTTGGGATCATGCAAGAAGTCTGATCTTAAACACTGTATCATCATCACACCAATCTCCCATTAGCCTGTGTGCAGCCTGCAGTCCTGTTCAGGGGAGCTTTTGGAGAGGCCAGTTTAAGATTCCTGGTTGCTCAATGCCTGATGGTGCCAGGAGGAAGGAAGCCCGGAGAAGCCTGCGCCAGCCCTGCCTGTGTCCTGAGACAGACACCCCGTATCATGACGTACCTAGAGTTATTAGGTGTCATAGTACAGAGCCTCCAAATAGGCCTGTGAGCATGTGCGTCCAAGTATTTAAATTAATACTGAAATAAAGTGCATATGTGACAGACACTCTACAACCCACATGGCGAGAGTCATTACAATTAGAAACTCCTGCCTGAGCTTCCAGCTTTCATACCCTGCCCTGCCGAATTAGAATGCTGCAAATCCGATAAAGATTAAAAATACAAAATTATGCAGAAAACGCTCTTTGATAAATTCTAATTGGATCACTGAGAAAAGTGATCTCCATGTCACTTTGGAGATAAAAGTGTGGACATAAAACTCTCACCGAGAGCTTGCAGCCCAAGGCAAATCACACCCATGTCCTGCCCTGCCCAAGGCTCCACATCTTGGAAATTCTATGAGGTTAGCATGAGGATGAACTAAATACTAAGTGCAGTCCTCAAAGGAAAAATAAAAGAAATAGCCACACAAGGGACTCTTTGGAACTGAGTCTGGAGGAGGGGCTCCCCAGTCCACTCCAGGAGAATTTGCGGAAAACAAGTTTACTTCCTGTTCCATTCTCATCGCCTGTTCTAAAAACCACCTCCTTCGCATTCCTGTAATTTGCATCGTTCTGGGCTCCTGGCTCTGTTACATCTTTCTTACATTTTAAGGATATCTGGATTTGATTTACTTAAGAGCGCGTATGGCTTAATTTTGTATTTCTGATAATCATTTGCTAAATTTGCCCCCATTTTATCAAATGACAGTTTTTTCTCCTATTTTTAATAAGTGAAAGTTTTTTTAATCCAGTTTATCTAAAACCCCTTGCTTAAAATGAGTTTAATTCTAGCAATAAATACGTTTATCTCTGAATTGTTTTATAATTTGACAATATATGTTTTTCTCCAATATATTACTGTATTAAGAGTTTTTAAAAGATACAATAACATCTGATCTCTCTGTCTCACTTGATCATGTGTCTGAATGAGTCAATGCCTCCATCAAATAGAAGTATCTGGCATCACTTCATCTAATTAAAAAGAACATTCAGTGTGCACATGCACCCACGATGAGGAGAAAACACCAAAGGAAATACCCAAAAAAAAAGGAGAACCCCAGGATTTCTGTGTGAACTCATACAGATACCATAAATATTTATCGCTAGAAACAGTATTTTAAACAAAAGGTCTTCGGGCAAGTGTATTAAAACTGCTTTGGATACAAGGGGCCCTATCGTAAAACGTTGCAAATTTGATAAATAATGATTAAAAATACAAAATTACGCAGAAAATGCCCTTTGATAAATTGATCTTTAAAAAAAAATCTTAATTGAGGTTCTCTAAAAGGAGCCTTCTAGGCAACATGCCCGCTAGGTGTACTGATTGCCGGCGGGCTGGTGACAGGCGAATCGATGTGGCTCCCCCAGCCCCCTCCTGGGAGCAGTCTGGACAGACAGCCTGGAAACGCGCGGCAGCAGTGCTGCTCCTCGCACCCAACGCAGCGGAGCCGCCTCCTCCTCGCACCCAGCCCCGCGGCCTCGCCCTGCCCTGGACCCCGCGCCGGGCACACAGGCCCTCACGTCCTCTTCTTCCAGGGCGGCGGGCGCTTCTCCTTCTGCGCATCGGCCTGGCGCTTCTTCTCGGCCTCCTCCGCCTTGCGCTTCTCCTCCTTGGCCTCCTTGTACCGCCACTTGGGGATCTGCAGGTGGCCGCTGTCCTTGGTGCTGCCCTTCCGCGCCGGCCGCTCGGGCTGGAAGGTGGGCGCGGGCGCCTTGGAGACGCGGACCCGGGGCACCACCACGCCGGGCCGCACGCTGCTCCGCCGCAGGCGCTGCAGGGGCAGGAGGCTGGACTTCCGCGGGGCGGGCGCGGCGGGGCCCCGGGACCCCGGCGGCGGGGCGGGCGGGAGGCTGGCTCTTGGGGAGCCCTCCTGGGAGCCTGCGTCTGCCGGGCTGGTCCGCCTGCGCTGCCCGGCGCCCCCAGCCTCCTCCGCCTCATGCGCCCGGGGCCCCCGCGCCGCCAGGATCTCCTGCACCGCCAGCCGCCGCTTCCCCACGCACGGGGGGCTCTCGGGACACACGGTCTGGCACACGATGGCCACGGCGGGGCTGTAGAGGCTAGTGGTCATCCTGACCATGTGGTCCAGGGCGCCCCCGTCCTCCGGGCTCCGCACGGAGCGCGGCGTGAGCGCGGACAGCACGCAGTCCGTGAGCCTCTGCAGGCAGTTCTTGGAGCCCGCGGGCTTCCTCGCAGCCTCGGGGGGCGGCGGCAGCTCCGGCCGGTACTTTTCCCCAAACTGTTCCGGGCAGGGGCGCTCCAGCAGCCTTTGCATGAGGCGAACGGCATCCACGCGGCCCGTGTAAGTGGCCCACTCTTGCGGCGACATCCCACGGCGGGGGTCCCTCGCGTGGACATCCGCCCCTGCAAAACGCAAAACACAAACAGGAGTGGGTGGCGGGAACCAGGACTCTTCCCTCCGAAGGCAGAGCCTGGGACAAAGGCAGAACGGCCCCCGCACCTCCTAACAGACTCCACCCTAGACCCAGCCACTCCATGAACCCCGTGCACACCTGAGCGCCCGAGCGCACGCCTGGAGTGCAGTGGTGGGAACACGGCCCACTGCAGGCTTGACCTCCCGGGCTCAAGTGATCCTCCCAAGTCAGCCTCCCGAGTAGCTGGGACTATACCACCGCCCAGCTAATTTTCTGTAGAGATGGGGTCTTGCTATGTTGCCCAGGCTGGTTTCGAACTCCTGGGCCCACCTCCACCTCCCAAAGTGCTGGGATTACAGGCATGAGCCACTGTGCCCAGCCCAACCTGCCTTTTAAGTGCTGCATTTGATTATCTGTCCTGAATAAAACCCCACGTGAATTCGGCACCTAACCTGCAGAATGTTTTGAAGAAATAAGATCCTATAGCTGTCAATGGAGAGATGACTAGACAACAAAGCTGACTTGGATACTTGAATGCCGCACCTAGAATGTTCTAAAACTACAACCAGTAACAGCCACTGGCAAAGTGGTCGGTGCCCCAACTGTGGCCTCACTCTGAGGACTGCCGTGGGTTCCCGACTGTGGCCTCACTCTGAGGACTGCCGTGGGTTCCCGACTGTGGCCTCACTCTGAGGACTGCCGTGGGTTCCGGACTGTGGGAAATGGGTGTCTTTTGCTTCTCCCACTGAGGCCTAGCTGGCTGGGGTCTGACCACCTTTAACAGATGGTGGGCTTTTCCAGGACAGAAACATTCATTTTTGTTTGCTCAGTACATCTCATGCTGCTCGGTCGGGGGCGTGAATTTTAAAAAGGCTTGTTGCAAAATGAATGGCAGTCACAGTGGCTGTGGGTCCTGCCTGGGACCACCAAGCTGGTAACAGAGAGAGTCTAAGACTTGGGTGTCCTGACCTCAGTCTAACGTACTTCCTACCACCTGCTGCCAGGGCCCGTGTGATGGTTAGTTTTAGTAATCAAACATGGATCTAGGTGTTGCCCCAACTGTATTGTGTAGCTACAGTTAACATCTATAATCAGTTGACTTTAAGTCAAGGAGATTACCCTTCATAATGTGGGTGGGCCCCACCCAATCAGTTGAGGGCCTTCAGAGCAAAGAGCAAGGTTTCCTGGAGAAAAAGAAATACCGCCTCAAGACTGTAGCATCTGCTTACTCCTGCCTGAGTTTCCAGCTCTCACGCCTACCGCACCAACTTCAGACTCCCCAACCCCCACAATCACAGAAGCCAATTCCTTAAAATAAATCTCGTGATATCCACATCCTATTGGTTGACTAACATGTCCCCTTACACAGTCTCCCCAGTCACTCTCTTAATAAATCTCCCCAGGCCACCCACTGCCCCCAAATATTGCAAAGTTAAACTTGAACTCAACTTGATGAAATCTGCATAAATGTCAACATTGCAGTATGGAAATTAACATGGAATTGCTGTTGAATTAATCTTGGTCTAATCTCAGCCCCACATACTGTTAAAAATCATTGAGGGGCCAGGTGCGGTGGCTAACACCTGTAATTCCAGCACTTTGGGAGGCTGAGGTGGGCAGATCACCTGAGGTCAGGAGTTCAAGACCAGCCTAGCCAACATGGTGAAACCCCATCTCTATCAAAAACACAAAAAAATTAGCTGGGCGTGGTGACGGGTGCCTGTAATCCCAACTACTCAGGAGGCTGAGACAGGAGAACTGCTTGAACCCAGGAGGCAGAGGTTGCAGTGAGCTGAGATTGTGCCACTGCACTCCAGCCTGGGCAACAGAGCGAAACTCCATCTCAACAACAAAAATAATAATAATTGAGAATTTCAAGTCCCGTTAGTCAAATCTCCACAGGCAAAGCAACATGGAGAACTAGGGCAATTATCTAGTCTGTGAGCCCCTCAGGGACCAGGCCTGACAGACGCTTCTTCATTTACATCCTACACTCCCACACAGACCCAGGTGTCTGACAAGCGATGGCCGATCAATATGTGCCGAAGTGAGGAAGGCGGGGTCCCCAGCCACTGCCCTGCCCTGCTGCCTGCAGTGGCATCATGGCTCTGGCAGACCTAGCTCACCTGAGCTTGCCTGGTAAGGATCGTAACTCTGTGACACATTAAAAAATAGCCATATTAGAAGAGTGGTAATTATTTGGAACTGGAGATCACGATGGAACTCATTAGCTAGAGTACAATTTATAAACTGACTAAAATGAAAAGGGGGCAGTAAAAGTGTCATCGCAAAAAATAGATGACACATTAAACCTTAATTAATTGCATGTCACTTAAAAAAGGAACAAACTGCAAAATTAAAATCTTAATGAACAGTGCCTGAAAGAGACATTTTTCAAATTAATGGAAAACTAGAAGAAGAGCTGTCCAAAGTTTTGTACTCTTCGTCCTGATGTTTGCCTACCTTTTCTGATCCCAGAAAATATAAAGACTCTAAGGAACAAAGGCCACTGAGCTCTAGAATCTGAGTCATGCTATAAATTAGGGATCTGCTGCCTTGGAAAAGAGTGTGAAGGGTCACATGAATGACCTGAACACAGTAGTTAAATTACAAAAGACAAGTACTGATGATGAACATTATACAAATACCTTCCAGAGAATACAGAGGATTTCTGAAATACCACCGTATCCATCTTCTCCCCAGGAGACCCCCAGCATTCTCGCCTCCCACCCAGTGTTGTTTGCCCAGGTGGACAAGAGTGGGACTGCTGCCTACGGGTCCATTCGCTGCCTTGCTGAGTGCTCTAAGTCTACACAAAATCCTGTTTCACTTGAGGCAGCAACATCCCCCGTTCTTGGCAATGCATCATGATCAGTCTAACCCAGGACCCCTGGACCTCGGCACTATTGACATATTGGGCCAGGTGATTATTTGGTGTGGGCTGTCCTGTGCATTGGAGAACGTTTCACAGCATCCTGATCCCTACCTTCTTCTAGATGCCAGTGGCACTCTGCCAGTTCTGACAACCAAAAATGCCTCCAGGCACATTTCTCCAAATGTCCCCTGGGGCAGCATTATCTCCAGCTGAGAATCACTACTCGATTCCAATGGCTGCAATCCTGTTCCCCATTTTCCCAGCCTCCCTTAGGACTAAAAGCAGCCAAGCAGCCCCGCACTGGTCACTGAGACCTAAAGAGGGTTTTGCCTCCTGATGAAAGGGACCAGTGTGGTTGGTGCTGCTGCAGCTTCCTGTCTGAAACAAGGGTCGGGTGATTCGCACGGAATCAACAGGCCAAGGGGAGCCGAATGGACAGGAGGAAGCCACCGGGGTCTGTGTTGTCCTCATGGAGTCCAGGACCAGCTCTGGAGGGTGACTGCCAGCCTCAGGGTTCTAGGGAGCTGAGAAATGCGACGTGTTTTCTTGAAGCCAGTCTAGTCAGGATTTCTGTTACGTGCAACCAAAAGCATTCCAAACAGATGCTAATGAGAAAAAAAAAATGGATACTGTCCATCACTCATTCTTGGGAATGCTTTCCCCAGGGGGGCCATGGCCAGACCCAGGACTAGCAGGAGGTGGGCGGAGCGCGAAGATCTGAATGTGTCACTTCCTTTCCTGTTGCTCCACCAGCCCCCACCCAGCCCCTTGTTATCCACGCTGCAAACCCCAGCTCAGGTCTCCCTCTTGCCAGGGGGCCTTTCCCGGCCACAGGGGAACACTGTGGACCAGCCCTCACTGCCTCCTCTTGTGTCACCGCCAGCCGGTATCTTGGGCACTGTGCGTATAATCGGGATGACAAATCTGGATGCAGGGTCCCAAGAAAAGGCTTGTGCTCCAGCCCAGCAGTGAGGACAGCCACCCCCGCCACACAGTAGGTGGGAAGCGTGCTCAAAGTCCTCATATCCCCTCAGAGAGGGGCTGGCGCTGGAGGACAAACTTCCCAGCACCTCTGCGATGTCTTTTCCTCACCAGGGGGTCTGAGTCCCAGCTTCCTGCAAAGGAAAGCTGCTCATTGGTGCACATTTCTTAGCTTCCGTTCTTCCCAATCTCACTTCCCGCCCTCACTCCACTTCCTGGGACCTCCTTCCCACAAAACTACTTGCCCCCAAGTCCTTGTCTCGGAGTTTGCTTTTCGGGTGACACAGAATGCTTGACTTTTCATCCTTTCCTGGCTATTGACTTCAAACAATTCTACATGACAAATTCACACTTAAAAGGAACTCTGTTTTCCTCACAAATAGAAAGGAAACCTCTATCTGGTTGGAAATCATCTGGCTTTCCAGAAGGAGATATCAGCGTTTGCCTAAGACAAAAGCAACCCTCCCACCCACAGTGGGAGCATCTCTGATCTCTGTTCCTCGCCGGCCTTTAAATCCTCTTTGCTCCTTAAAATCACAGCAGGATTTGAGGTTACTGCTGCTTGTTTTTGCTTCCTGAAGGCTGCAGCAGTTACACCATACTTCAGGTCTAAGTGAGCTCTCATAAGCAAGCCTGGAACCTGCCAACCTCCACAAATTCTGTCTCTCTTCAGAAAAAAAATAATATCCTCACTACGCTTCTCAGAGCCACCTATTTAAATAGACCGTCACTGTGGGGCATTCGTATTTCAGTGAACTGACAAGATTCTGCAGGTCCCCTCGTGATGCTCTTCAGCAGGTCCCGCGTTATTTCTTACAAAGCCAAAACCAGAGATGCAATCCATCAGCTTCTCATAACCTGGTTATACTTTTTATCAAAATCTGAAGTGCCAATCTAAAAGAAGGCTCTGGCTATTAGTTTCTTTAAATGGTTTAATTTTTCTTAATATCAGATATTTAAATGGAAAGAATAAGAGTTAACATATTTGTGCAAATTTTAAAAATATATCAAGAGCTGTCCTTATTGCTGTCCACTAATTCCAGGGAAGCAATTCAACAGTTTTTTTTGTCAATACTCATACATCTACTTTAAAAGGAAAATAAAACCCACTTTTCTTGGGAGAACTATAAGCTCACTTAGTACTAACAGTAGAAGACGAAAATATTCTAGAAGTTAAACACTACAACCAAAGCCTAAGTGGGCAGCTCAAAAGCTCATTAAAAAAAAAAAATGTCCCTTTTTTGTTTTTGAGACAGAGTCTTACTCTGTTGCCAGGCTGGAGTGCAGTGGCGCGATCTCGGCTCACTGCAACCTCTGCCTCCCAGGTTCAAGTAATTCTCTTGCCTCAGCCTCCCAAGTAGCTGCAGGCGTGTGCTACTATGCCCGGCTCAATGTTTTTGTATTTTAGAAATGGGGTTTCACCGTGCTGGCGAGGCTGGTCTCAAACTCCTGTCCTCAGGTGATCCAGCCACCTCAACCTCCTAAAGTGCTGGGATTACAGGTGTGAGCCACTGTGCCTGGCCGAGATGTCACATTTTATCTGAGGGAGGATTACAGAGCAAGCAAGGAAGAATACACAGAGGGGAAAACGCCTCTTCTCTTTGTCCGTCCTTTCCCATTTAAATTAGTTACCTCAGCGGTTCTCAACGGGAATCAGATTTCCCCCCAACTTTGGAGACTTTTAGCAACATCTAGAGATGTTTTTGGTTATCACAACTGGGAAGGTGCTACAGTCATCTTGTGGATCGAGACCAGGGAGGCCACTAAAAATCCTACAATTTGAGGCCAGGTACTGTGACCCATGCCTTTAGGAAGCCGAGGCGGGCAGATCACAAGGTCAGGAGATCAAGACCAGCCTGGCCAACATGGTGAAACCCTATTTCTACTAAAAATACAAAAATTAGCCAGGTGTGGTGGCATGCGCCTGTAATCCCAGCTACTTGGGAGGCTGAGACAGGAGAATCACTTGAACCAGGGAGTCAGAGGTTGCAGTGAGCTGAGATTGTGCCACTGCACTCCAGCCTGCTGACAGAGTGAGACTCTGTCTCCAAAGGAAAAAAAAAAATCCTACAATTTGAAAGCGCCACAACAAAAAATTATCTAGCCCTGCATGTCAGTAGTGCTGAAATTAAGGAAGCCCTGAGGTAGGGGCTTACTACCCTCATTAAGAAAGCTTAACTATCTCATCCACAAGATATTTTTCAAAGGGAAAAATAAACCACATTTTTTCATTCATTTAATGGATAACTATTGAACACATAAACTCACCAATAATAACAGTAATCACAACCAACACGGTGGGAAGGCTTCTCCAAGCCCAGCCTGCACCTGGGGCGGGGCTGTTCCACTGTGACCTCACTCAGTCCCCATCCCGCCTTCCTGTGGTGGGTGCTATCATTAGCCTCACTTTATAGAAGAGGAACCTGAGGCCCAGTGAGGTGAGTGACAGCCTGCAGGTGTAGAGACGGAAAGTGGAGAAGATGGATTTGAATCTGGGTCCTGGCTGCTGGGTTGTACTTCGTACGGGACAGGGAGAGACTCACTAGATGCAGACAATAATCTGTGGATTGTTCTAGACTGTGTTGGGGGATAGGGCTTGCAAATCGGGGAACAGGGAAGGGAGAGTATAAATCTAATGCCAAGTTTGTGTCCAAATAACTTATGGGAGAAAAGCAGTGTCAGCAGCAAACCCACCGCCCTCTCCAGCAGGCTCATCGTTCCAAGAGATGTGTTAAGGTGTTTCTGGAATCCTCTAAATGCTGTCACACATACCTGAAACCCCCAGGAGACCCAGGGAAGAAAGCATGGCAATCAAGCAGAGTGAATAGAGGGCAACTGACCTAAAAAAGGTTTGTAGTTAACTCAAATTAACTCAATGGGAAAGTGCACTGATGTCACTGACATAATAAATGTTCAGTTGAAAAAGTAAATTACTAAAGATCTACACTCAATTATAACTAGATCCAGGAATAGTAAAAGCGTCTGAAGCTCCCGCCGAACACAATGCACCGCATAATCACCATTTAATTAGAAGGAACCATTTCTCATTGATAAGGACAGGCGGGGCCGAAACTCTGTTGAAACGGATAATCTCGTTCTATAAAAATGAAACTATCATCTCTGAATCAAAAGTACAATTGATGGGACTCATTTTAATTATAATTTTTTTTATTTCCAAGAAAGTTTCCATCTTTGAAGCCTCTATTCACATTCACTGAACTTATTTTTTTACAGCATCCCCTAAGACTAAAGAATCCCCTAAGGTTAAACCAGAAGGGAAAATAAATCTGAAGCAGTTGTGAATCCTCTAACAAATCAACAGACGGGCTCAGACTGGGCGGCACTGCACACTGGCTGGTATAAGACTGTCCCGTCATGAACAACAGGTTATGACAGAAACTTCAGACCAAAGAAGATTGGGGGCGGGCCGCGGGAGCTCAAGCCTGTAATCCCAACACTCCAGGAGGCTGAAGCGGGAGGATCACCTGAGGTCAGGAGTTCGAGTCTAGCCTGGCCAACATGATGAAACCCTATCTTTACTAAAAGTACAAAAATTAGCCAGGTGTGGTGGTGTGTGCCTGTGATCTCAGCTACTTGGGAGGGTGAGGCAGGCGAATTGCTTGAACCCGGGAGGTGGAGGTTGCAGTGAGCTGAGATCATGCCACTGCATTCCAGCCTGGGTGACAGAGTAAAACAGTCTCAAAATAAAAAAGAAGAAGAAGACTGGGACTACTAAGGAGAGGACAAATAAATGTGGGAGCTCAGCGGGGGTCCTGGACCAGAAAAGGGACATTAGTGGAAGCACTGATGCCTGGGAAAACTCTGATGCCACTCTCAGGATAACCAAGGGTGGGGCGGGGGGGGGCGGTGGGTGTGCTGTGGTCTGAATGTTGACTGAATGCTGATGATCCTCCAAAATTCTATGCTGGAACTTCAGACCCACTGGGGTAGTATTAAGAGGTGAGGCCTTTAGGAGGTGATTAGATTATGGGGCTCTGCCCTCCTGAATCAAACTAGTGCCTTATGAAAGAGGCCTTGAGGGTGCCTCAGTGTCCTCTCCTCCATGAGAGGAGACAGCAAGAAGGAATCGGCGTCACCAGACACGGAACCTGCTAGCACCTTGATCTTGGACGACTCAGCCTCCTCAGGTACAAGCAATAAATTTCTACGGTTTACAAATCACCCAGGTGAGGTATTTTGTTACAGCAGCAGAACAACGAAAAGGAAATCCACTTCTTCAGGAATTTGCAGAGCCAAGCAGGACTGGCTGAACTCAGTGCCACGAACAAAAATAAATATAAAATAACAGAATTAAGGAACGGCGAAAGCAGCATCGCACATTCACTGAGGTGTAAGCTGCTAATTAAATCTAACACAATGTGTGCTTGACACACATTTTCTCATTTAATTCTCAACCCGATGAGGTTGCATGAAGGGTGATCGTCGATTCTATTTCAGAGAGAAGGCAAGAATTAAAGCTGTTAGTTGTGTGTCATTTAGTGTAGTAGCTCATTGAAGCTGGAGAGCCCTTAGGAGTGTATAAAGTATTGTCGTATTTCAGCCTCAGGGAGGTGAAAAGGAAGAAAGAGATCATTACTCCCATTTCACAGATGTGGACAGGAAAGTGCTTTCTCCAAGATGGCAACAAAGACAAAGGGGGGTTGATCCAGGTTGATAGCCTGAGAACTTTCCACTCTGTGATACAACATAGAAAAAGGAAATTGCCACACACATCACCAGAAATACATCACCTCCTAAAATCACCATGCAACCCCACGTCACCTCCTAACACCACCACGCACCCCACGTCACCTCCT